ATGGAGGCCACTGTGCTCTTAGGAACCTTAAGTGCAGCAGAAATTTTTTTGTAACCTTGGCCAGATCTGTGCCTTGCCACAATTCTGTCTCTGAGATCTTCAGGCAGTTCCTTTGACCTCATGATTCTCATTTGCACTGACATGCACTGTGAGCTGTAAGGTCTTATATAGACAGGTGTGTGGCTTTCCTAATCAAGTCCAATCAGTATAATCAAACACAGCTGGACTCAAATGAAGGTGTAGAACCATCTCAAGGATGATCAGAAGAAATAGACAGCACCTGAGTTAAATATGAGTGTCACGGCAAAGGATACTTATGACCATGTGATATTTCAGTTTTTCTTTTTTAATACATTTGCATACATTTCTGTTTTTTTCTGTCAAGATGGGGTGCTGAGTGTACATTACTGAGAAATAAAATGAACTTTTTTGATTTTTGGAAAATGGCTGCAATGAAACAAAGAGTGAAAAATTTAAAGGGGTCTGAATACTTTCCGTACCCACTGTATATGGAGCATAAAAACTGAACGCTCTCCATGTTTAGTTTTGACTCTGGGGACAGAAAGCAGACCTGTCCCAGATGACCTGAGAGGTCTGGATGGTTCATAATGAAGCAGAAGATCAGAAATGTATTTTGGTCCTAAACCATTCAGTGCTTTAGACGATCTGATGATCTTGGACCAGAGCGCTTCGCCACCTGTATTGGTGAGCGGAAGGTGAAGACGGCAGCTGAAGCTTATATTTTGATTAATGGTGGAAGTAGCGGATGTCTTGGTTCACAGTTTGGACACAGAAAATCCCTCTGCTGGAGGTGCGTGCTCTGTTAATTCAGGAATACATTTTATTTCAGATGGTTTTGTATGTTTAGCAGGGAGTGATGAGAAAGTGCACATAAAAATACTGCGTAACACTGGTGCTTTTGATTAATCAATTTTAGCATCTACCATAACATTTTCAGAGGAGACCAGCAGGGGTTTGAATATACCTGTGTTCGGAATGGGCATGAATATTCTGCATGGACCTTGATGTTGTCTTGTGATCTGTTTCAGGGGGAGGTGGCAATTGGTGTGCGTCCAGCTCTGCCGGTGGTTGGTGTTACCATGATTCTGGGTAATGATATAGCAGGTAGTTGGGTGTGGGCTGATGTTGCACACCCAGCTGCCGTTGCTCCAGTTCCCCCCTGGTGAGCAGTGGGCCTGATGATAGTGAAACTGAGTTTCCAGAAGTTCCACCGAAAATGATGACATTTCTGTGCAGCATGATGTAACATGTCCTGATGTTCCCTGGTCTGTTTCTCGCAGCGAGTTGGTGGCGGAGCAGCAGGCTGACTGTTCTCTTAAGGGTCTGCTGGAGATGGCACGTCCTTATGGTGAGGTGAAAAGCCACACACAGTGTTACTTTCTCCAGAATGATGTATTGATGAGAAAGTGGGTGCCTCAAGGAGAGCATTTTGTTGGTGAACTAATTTATCAAGTTGTTGTGCCTTCCAGGTTTTATAGTATGGTTTTGCAGATTTCCCATAATGAGTCTGGCCATTTAGGCATCAGAAAGACGTATGACCGCATCCTGAGGTATTTCTTTTGGCCCAGACTAAAGAGTGAGGTTTCTGCTTACATAAAGGCATCCCATACATACCAGTTAACCAGCAAACTCAATCTGAGTTTAAAACCCGTTCCGCTGTGTCCAATACCAGCTATAGGGTCCTTTGCGGCCAACGGATTTTTGTTTTGAAATTAAAAACGGGAAACTGAAAAAAAATCTCGTTATACAAAGATGAGATAGCTGCTGCATACACCTTAATGTTTGAGTGTGACAGTCCCTTCTCCATTAGGCCCTGTAAGAAGGAAAGGATGGATTCCACTGAGCAGGTTATGGGATCCATTTCCTTCTCTATGCACCAGCGCTGAAAGCCCATCCACTTAGCTTTGTAGTAGGAATGCGGTGGAGTCCTCGCCGCCTGGATGGTATGTACCACCTCTGCAGACAGCCCAGCCTGTCTTAACCTCTCCCTTTCAGGAGCCAAACCTGGAGAGGTTGGCCAAGCACCGGCAACGTGCCTATGGTGCCTGACTCCTGTGACAGAGCCCCCAGACCTGAGGCACAGGCCAGGGCTAAGCCAGGGCCAAGCTGCGTCACCTCTGCATACCACCCCACCGATCTGCAGCTGGGGGCTACCAGGATGACTGACAACCCTTCCTGTCTCTCCCTCTCCAGCAGGAGGGGATGAGAGGGAGTGGGGGGAAAAACAGATACAGGCTGGTAGACCAGCGTTCTAACCGCCGCATGTGTAGCAGGCCCAGGGTAACCACCGGATGGGGTGCTGCCATGAGCTCTAGCAGCTGCATCACTGACAGCACAGTCACAGCAGTCCCCAGCTGGAGCTTGCGGACCGCTTGAAGAAGAGTTGTCTGTCTGAGTTCTGACAGATGAGCTCTCAGGCTGGCTGAGTTGAGCACAACCCCCAAGTACTCCACCTCCTGGCGAGGATAGGGGGAGCTCTTCTCCCAGCTGATTGCAAAGTCAGGTTGTTCAGATGCAAAATCAACTGATCTGAAATGGAAAATTGCCCATTGTTTTGACCTGGCCATGACAACGAGGTCGTCTAAGTAGAAAAAGACCCTCATGCCCTGATCGCACAATGGTAGCAGTGCAGCGTCTACGCACTTGCTGAATGTGCGTAGGGCCAGCTGCACTAGCTCTAGCAGTTTCCTGAGTGTCAGCATGCAGAACGGTTTCCGTGCAATATGCTGGTTCAGGTAACGGAGATCCAGGATGGGTCTGAAGCCTCCTGTCTTCTTGGGGACCAGGAAGTATGTGGACCCTTGTACATGTTGTGCGTTGGAACAACAGAAATAGCCTGTTTCAGCAGGAGCTGTTGAATCTCTGTGGCCAGGAAGTCCACCTCCTCCTGAGAGGACAGGTTGGCTTCTTTGATGGCCTGTAAAGACGGTGGGATACGGCAAAATTGTAGGGAGTAACCTCGCCTCAATATGCCGTCCATCCAGTCTGTTGGCTTGCAGCAGCGTCTCCATTCCATGTGGAAATGAGTCAGGGGACGCGCTGTCAGCTGAGGAGCATTGTGGATGAAACGCTGGAAAGCTTCCTCAGCCTTCACCGCCACCAATCCCTCCATAAGAGGGAGTTCGGCCCAAGGGGGCCGCAATCGAAAGGGCCACTTCGGGCAAGTGGAAAACAAGCGGACTGTGGTGTCCTGAATGCACCATGGCCGGTCGCTCCATTGACATCATTGCCTGCGACAGTGTTGTTGTAGTGTCTTCGGTGACGTGTTCACTATGAGCAGAACTGTCGTGAGGAGCAGTGACAAGCCGGGGAGCGCTCCTCTCCACAGCTTGTTGGCCACTGTGGGAGAGACACAACATATTAACACAGTGGCTGCGCGCCCAGTTGGAATATGGAGGAACAAGATGGGCAGCGAGGGCCTCTTCCAGCGGGGGCATGCGCGCTTTTGTGTCGCCCTGCACGCAAAGGAAATCAATCAAGCCCACAACCGGCAGTGCTAGCCCAACGCGCCTTGCTGCTATAGCCATAACCGCGGGGAAGTCCTGATGGACTGAGGAGGAATTAATTTGCTCATTAGAGACGGCCGATGTGGCCGCAGATGACAGGTTGTCAGCAGGGAGCGTAGAGCCAATGGAGGCGGTTGATTGGGGCCGGAGCATCCTCCTCAGCGTGGAGGGGATCCGGGCCGGTGTCTTACTCTCTCTACTCGCAGATGAGGGAGAGCTCACACTGCCAGAAATACTCACACTGCCGGAAATGGTTGGCGGATGCCATCTCTGGCTTGGTCCCTGCCGAGGCATTCAAAGCAGAAGCGATGAGTGTCGACCCCGGCGATCAGACCGGGGCACGACGGGCAACGGCGAGCTTCAAGGAGCGGAAACTCCATCCGTGGAGGTGAAAACACCGCTATTTATACCGTACGCATGTACAGTAGCTGAACCATAAACACAGACCATATCAAAATAAGAGATCGGAATAATATGATTAACAAACTAATCCAGATGCAAGCAGACATATCACAAATAAACTACAACCAACAAGGAAAACAGACTGAAGCTAGGATAAAACAGAACTCACAGCAGGCAAAGCCAAAATAATGCTAACACAGAACTAGGAGTAAATACAAAGACATTAACTAAGACACAGAACTAGGAACTAAGACATGGAACCAAAACACAGACTAAATAACAGATACCAAACTGACCAATAAATAAACTCACAGATAACTAAACTCAACAGAACAGAGGACCGGACTGAACTGCAGATACAAAACCAACCAAACAAGAATCAAAATGCATCACACAGAGAAACTCAGGACAGGATTGTGACATGTACCCAACTACTCAAGCAGTGAATAGATATAGATAATAGATATGCTCAAGTATCTACTCTACTGTTAATCTAACAGAAAATGAAAGATTCATATTGTCACATTACAAGATTTTATTATCCCATCTCTTTGACATGGTGCAGACCGCATCAGCAGCCATATTTCAGGGATAAAAGCTAGCAAAGACAAAGAAATATTACTGAGTTCAGGATCTGCATATTTTACTTCCTCTTTCAAAGCAGCCTTACTCATGAAGGTGTTATAGTAACTTTACATCCAAACTGAAAATCCAACCTTTCATTTGGGAGGTACTTAATAAAAAGGAATACTGTTCATTAAGGGGAAATGTTGGCCTATAAAAATGCTCTATATGAAAAAGGGTCACCAAAAGCATTAAGATTCATCATCTGGAGACTATGAAAATCCATTTTAGTAGCACTGGAGACAGCAGCTGCTGAGATATCTTGCCCTGGACCAGGATGGCGGGGGGATTTTCTTTCCTTATGTTCTCGTATGCAAAGTTATACTAACAACTTTCAGCTAGTAAAAGTGTGAGCGCATGTTGGAGACACTAATTGCCACACAGAGAAGTTGCATCAGTCAAGTGTCAAAATGAGGATGCTCTGTGGTTTAATGACAGGGGCTGAAGTCAGTGGGAACTAAACAGAAGGACTGTAGCGATGGCGGAGGAGGAGGTCAACTATGCTTCAGTTGTTTTCAAAACTAAGAAGCATTCCCCATCTGAAGGTAAGTTCAGCTGTTTGAATTCATTTTATTTTTTAAATCAAGAAAAGATCTTGAAACGCATCATGTCATTGATATGGATCAAATACTGTTTCCTTGTTTCCACATCAATCTGCCTGGACCCCCACACAGCCCAGTCGTCAATTGTATGGCTGGATCTGTATGTGATCATCCTCTTCATGTGATTTCTTGCACTGGTATTTTCTTCAGTAAAACTGGTTAGTAAATACATTTGAAAATTGGACTGTTCAGAACATGAAATAATATTAAAGCCATTGCCCTGTAAGTTTGTTGAGCAACAATGAACACATCTGCCTCTCGTGTTATGTGGGCAAAATAAAACATTCAGCAGCATGACATCATGGAAATGCTGTTTTGTAAACTGTGGCTGATTGTGGTGTCTGTTCTCTTTTTCTGATCTGAATTGAGAAATTTGTTTTAACATTTGAAACCTTTGACTATCTGCAATCCACTGGGCTGTCTCTAAACTTAGTTGTTGTAATCTGCTACTCCAAAACATGTATTTGTCATATCCATATTGGAAATACATGGAAAGGTTTTGGTTTGCTTTTGTTTGATAGCGCCCATTTATGTAACAACACTGGAGATTCCACAGACCACAGCTATCAAAAACCAGTCAGGCACATGTGTAATGAAGTGGTTATTTTAAAAGTGTTTCTCTATAAAATGCATAATTTCCCTTTCATGACCCGCTAACTGTGAGAGAACTGGATCATCTTACGTTTTAGTTGCCCTGTGAGGGTCTACAGAATACAGTTCTGGGAAAAACACTGAATTACTTTTAATTCTAAAACAAGATACTGGGACAGTCACAATAATTTCAAATGTTAAAATAAGCCTCCAAAAGCCTTTACAATTTAGACACTATACAGTAATTAACCACAAGATTGTGTTCTTCAACCTTTCAGCTAATAAGGAGGAGGAAACTGTGTACAGTGATGTGAAGGTGCGAAGCAAAACAACCGAAAAGACTGCTGACACAAACAGTAAGTTGTAAAGAAAAATGTACACAGCATTCAGTAGAGTATATCTATTAATACTACTATTACTGCTACAAATACTACCTCAGATTTATCGTTATTACAACCATTAAAAGGGAACTAATAGGGGGTCATGAGGAGTACTGCTCAGCCTGTGAAAACAGTAGGAGCTTTGTTAATAACTTAGAGACTGCTAATTTTAACAAAGACTTACAAACTGGGGGTGTGGAGTTCAAAAAGATGTTGCTGTTTCACAGGCAGGGAAGCTCTAGTGAAAAGATAAAATCACCTTGAATTATGGGAAATGTAGGATCCATTGTTTCTGGGGTTTAAGCCATAGTAGGGAATTTCTATTTAGAGAATTTCTGATTTGTATTTCAACTTTCAAGTGCTTCAACTGCAACATTTATTTTACAGCCACCAATTCTTCTAATGCTCCTCTTAGCACAATGGCAAAAAGCACTTTTCTTAAAGAACAGGTTCACACATTTTAATATCCATCATGAAGTAAAAGTCAGGTGCCCATGTGAATATTGAAACATGTTTTGCTGCCTGTAATCATTCCTCCTGTTTGTACTGACCATTAAGAGATCTTTTCTAATGTGCTTCGAATATAAGAGATGGGAGAGAAAATGTCTTTGTTCTGTGTAGAAATGTATTCCCAGGTTTATCTGAAGCTAATACAAGCCTAGCAGTCTGGGTTAGTCAAATGAAGCGGGTACCTTTACTGTCTTCTACTTACTGACTTTTTAGTGTAAAAAAGATTTTTTGTTGTAAAATTACTGTAACTTTGAAAGTTACCCTCTTGATATCGTTAACTTGGACTGCTAAAGCCTTCTATTTATATTTAGCCCCTTTTCCACTGCAAGGTACCAGCTCGACTCGCCTTTTTTGGTTTTCCATTGGGGAAAAGTTGTACCTGTACTTGCAACCAGGTACTTTGTTCTTATCACCACCGTCGAGGTTCCAAGCGAGCTGAGGTGATACTAAAATGTGACATGAAAACACAGCAGATTGCTGATTGGTCAGAGAGAATCGTCACTATTCGCTGTGTCATCATTGCGCGTGCCTGACAGAGGCCAGCAACAGACGTTTTATATTTTACAATTTTCATGTGTAATTTCATCACTAAATCCACTTCTGAGAAGTTTTGAGGTGAAATCAAGAGACAGCTGTGTGGGTCACTGGTGTGTGGTGTTGCTATGACGACTAGCTAGATTGAAGAGTACTATTGCTGCGTTCCAGCCAACTCGGAACTGGGAAATTTCCGACCTCCAACCAGAAAAAGTACTGTGGAACGCCACTTGAAGTCGGATTTCCTACTTGTGAACTCGGAGAAAAATATGGCCCCCCGACTTCACGAGTAGCAGCTGAATGACGTCACAAAACAATGTCAGCGCCCACGGAAGCACACACTGTAAATGGTAAACCATAAACTAAAAGGCAACAAAACATATATTTGTATGTATTTAAATTAAACTAATACATACGGTCATATAGTAAAACCTGTTCTGCATGTACATTGATGTAGAAATCTCATAAAGTTATCTTCTCTGCATAAAAGTTATCGTTTAAAATGCCAAAACATTAAGGAAGTGTAACCTACAACATTGACTTGAGGATTACCAACTGATATAGCTAGAGGGGTACACAGTTAACTAGTAACGTGTAGGTTATTTATGTCAGTTGTTTGCATTAAAACTGCCATCCTTTTAATTAACACCTGTGTGTATTCACTGTGCCACGGTCAGCGACTCACGTGTCATGCACCACCATGCACCTGGAACGCTTTTAGGTTAGAAGTCAGATATTTCCACTTGGAAATTTCCCAGTTCTGAACCGTCTGGAACGCGGCATATTTCTGGGTACTATCTGCAATGGAAAACGGAGGACGTCGGGACAAAACCGAGTTGAGTCGCGGCAAGTTGAGCTGGTTCTGGTAATGGAAAAACGGCATTTGTTGTTTATCCTCAGCAGGACTTTTGCCAGACAAGAAAACAAACAGCAGAGGTCGCTGCTATCAGCAGGTGGCTTGTTGTTTGGGGATTCTTTGTGTCATTTTGCTGTTGGGCATCATAGCAGTCTGTGTCTACAGTAAGTATACAAAACAGGTAGTCTATGCAGTACCTCAGACTCAGACATGAGGCAGAACTTGAAGAATAACAGCACCAGTTTTCCTCTGTAACATTACTATAACCATAACCAAAGTATTGTAGCTTTCCTCAACAAGAAGCTATGAGATGATAGCTGGTTTTGTTCACTGTTATTACAGAAGAAAATACAGGCTAATGTGGGCCGTAGCCAGTGCCAAAAAGACAAATCTGTCTGTCACAGAGCGCTACGTGCTAACATCCCTCTTTTTCAACTCTCTCTTTTCTCCTCGGTTTCTAAGCGTATCATATAGTCAGGCAGGCATAACACATTCAGTGACATCCTGGAAACTTGGAAAACATGGTGATTACGATAAACAGCCTAACAATTAAAACATACATATCAGCTGGTCGGTTACAGTATTTCTTAACAGGTTGTTTAACCTATAGATTTCTTCCTCTATTCTAAATCATGTTACGAACAAACTTGTTTATGTGATTTTATTTTCAACAATTTGCAACCAATTTTTACAGCCTGTTCTCATCTCAGGGCGTCAAATACCAACGCGTTCAGAAAGGTTGACAAAGTGTAGGTATTTGATGCAAAAGGTACCCTTCGGCTTTTGTAAGAGACGCCAACGGCACGTCCGCATGAGACATCCACAACAATGAACACAGCCACTGTCGAAGTTAGTACCACAGACACCGTCCTGCTGCCATAAGGCCCTGCTAGTGCACACACACACAAAAAATCCCCAACAAATACACTATTCACTGTTTAATTACTTATTACTTAAAATTATAGTGCCTAGCTGTTTTAGGCAATGCCATATATTTAAGGGTCCAGTAGGAACCAAAGGGCTTAGGAAGTCAGAAAACATTTATTCTTTTTAGGGGATCTCATAAATTAAAGACAAATAAGAGCCTACAACTCCCATAAGTCTAGAAAACCTGAAGTAAAACAGTGAAGTGACAAAGACAAAATCATATCATTACTATCACTCAATAAGCTAATTTCCCATTTCCAGTTGCACAATGTGACACAAGCCTATACTGTCTTAAAAGCAAGATCACAAACCTGTCTGCAGAAAACCAGATCCTGACAACACGAAACCAGGAGCTGGAGACACAGAACCAGGATCTGGAGTCACAGAGGAACAACTTAACAGAACAAATACAAAACAAGTGGAATGAGCTCAACGTCAGTCGAGCTCAGTGGAGCATTGATGCCTACTGCCCAAAACCAGAAAACCAAAGTATGTTCAGATCCCATTAATAAAGTAAAAAAATAACCGACAATGATAAGAACTATATCACAATGCAGTAATGTTGTTTATTGGTTTGTCTCTGTTGTTTCAGACAGACAGTGTAAAGCTTGTCAGGATGGTTGGATACTCTCAGAATCCAGCTGCTATGGGATTAATAACCCTGATGTTCCTGGTCAGAAAACCTGGGAAGAAGCTCGAGAAAACTGCAGAGGAAAGATTTCAGATCTGGTTGTTAAACTTGATCAAAAGGAGAAGGTAATGAGAACACTGAACATTTTTATGACAGCCTATATGAAATGAAAATGTATTTTCTGTCTGAACACACTGAGTCTGTAGGCCACAGTGTGTTTATTAAAGCAAAGAGTTTAAATATCTGATAACTGTCTCTCTGTTGTCAGACATTCATCAATAAACAAAAAAAAACGGGTAAATCTTTTTGATCGTGATAAAAGTTACTGTCGGTTGATGAAAGGTGAAATGCAGCAGTGTGAGAAGATGTTGCAGATGAAGAGTGTGATTTAAAACCACTAGTAGAGTAGTAAAAGTAGAAAACTTCCCACCATCAGTTCAGCGTCACCGCTAACTAAACAACTGTCACAACTTCAAAGCAGAAATAAAAAACATTCTCTTCTCTGTGAAATATAAATTTCTCCCCCTGAGATGCAATCTAATTATATAATTGAAAATGATATATATTACAAAAATGAAAACACTAAATAAAAACGTATTATTTCTTAACACAGGGAATGTACTTGAAATTTTCATGCATGATAAATGTGAACTCTACTGATCAAAACCTATAATGTGATATTCCTGCACAGGAGAACCTCAGACAAACTTTCATAACACTAGAGATA